GGCAAGCAAGAAATCAAAGGACATACTGCATTAAGCAAATCTGCTGCTAAAGACCTCTTTAAAGAGCAAAGATGTCAGTTTGAGGACTAAGGTGTTTTGCATGTGGCAATGACATCAATTTGGGGGGAACAAATGGGAGAATGTTATGCCCCCAAAATTATGTGTCATAAGTCCCAACCTCTCTATACCAAGTTCCAGTATGGTGCTATTGGATAAGCACTGGACTGCTAACTGCAACGTTGGCAGTTCAAACCCACCAGCCACTCCTTGTAAACCCTATAGAGGGTCATTATGAGTCTGAGTGGACTCAGGGCACTAACAACAGCAAAATACCAATGGTTCTGATCCCATGTAGGAATGGCTTGCCGTTGTCATATTGATGAGACAGGACTGGTGTAATGTGCATCTTGAATCAACCTCTTCTGAGATATGAAAGACACTAAGCAAATAAGAGGAGAAGAGACATGGTAAGATAGATGCCAAGACACATGGAGATTTCCAAGGAACCAGGAAGTGAAGCTGAAGAGACAAGGACTTTCTTCCAGAGCCAAAACAAAGAAAGTCTTCCCTCTAGAGCTGACGTTCTGAATTTAGATTTCTAGATTCTTGGTGTGGTTGGTGCTGTAAGATCAGCACTGGACTGTGAATCACAAGGGCAGCAGTTCAAACCCACCAGCTGCTCCTCAGAAACCCTATATAGGATCCCTATGAGTTGGCACCAACTTGATGGCAAATAACAACAAACTGTAAGAAAACAAATTGTTGTTTGCTAACTTAAATTAAATATACTAGACCTATGAATCTTGAAGAAGTATACAACAGAAAGGATCATTTTATATTTTCAATCACTCCATATTCATGTAAAAGCTAAATGAGTAAGGAAGACTGAAGAACTCATGCCTTTGAATTAGAATGTCAGTAAAGAAAATTAAATATGAGGGGACTTCAAAAAGTTTGTGGATAAATGGAATTAGAAGATTATGAAATTTTTCCATGAACTGTTTGAAGACCACTCATATACTAAGGAATAGAATAGAGAGTCCAGAAATAGACCCATACAAATATGCTCAACAGATTCTTCATGAAAGTGTAAAACAAATCAATGGAGGTAAGTCACCTTTGCAACAATGAAGCTCATGCAAATGGACATCTACAGACAAAACAATGTGCTTCAATTTAAGCCTCACTCCTTGTCCAAAAATTAACCCGAAGTGTCAGGGACTTAAATGTAGAATGTAAAATATTTAGGGGCAAAAAGGAGGGAGAAAAATCATTAGGATTTAGGCCTAAGCAAAGAGTTTAGACTTGACACCAAGAACACATTCCATGAAGACAAAATTGGCAAATTGGATGTCATCAAAATTAAAACTACTGATGTAAGAAAGCTCCTGTTCAGAGGATGAAAAGACAAATGACAGACTGTGGGAAACTTTGCAAACCATATATTTGATGAAGGACCAGTCTCTATAATTTATAAAGAGCTCTCAAAACTCAACACTAAAAAGACCCAACAATCCAATTAGAGAATGGGCATGAGATGTGCACAGCATTTTACTAAGGAAGTACATAGATGACAAATAAATACATGGAAAGCAGTCAACATCATTAACCTCTAGAGAAAAGCAAATGAAAAGCAAAATATACCACTATCCATCTATCTGAATGGCTAAAATGAGAACTGCACATTACAACAAATGTTGATGAAGATGTGGAGAAAGTGGATTACTCAGACATTGCTGGTGGAAATCTAAAATGGCGCAGTCACTTTAGAAAATGGGTTAACAGTTTCTTATAAAACTAAACAACCATAAAACCAAACCTGCTGATCATCCACATCTCCACTGAGGCCCCTC